CTCAGCTTCAGCATTGTCTACTCACCCTGCTTGTTGCTCTTATAGAAACAACGTGGTGTCTGTGCACTCAGTGGCTGCTGCAAAAGCAATGCTAGCCATGGGGCTCCTTTGGCTGCCAGGCATGGGGGGCAATGGGGGACTCTGAAGGGGTGGGGGGCAATTCTGGCACCCCTCCTAAGTTAGCACCCGGGGCTGATGCCCTGCTTGCTCATCCCTAGTTATGCACCTGACAGGTATAGAACAATTTGTACCTTCCATTTTTTTCCAGATCTCCTTTCCAGAGGCCTTCTGGCACCATTGTACCTGTCCACAAACTGACTGCCTTAAATGTACATGTAGTTTTTGCACTATATGTATAACACTAACAGATTAATTGCTGGACAACTACAAGGTGGGATTCATTAGCCTAGGGAACATTCAACAGAAAAATCTGATCCCTGGGCATTAAGACAAACAAGTACGTGTATGTAACAATTATAATCTTATTAAAACACAGTTCAGAAAGGGTGAATTTTGGAAGGCTAGGTTCTTAGTTGTGCCCACTGCCTGTTAAAAACAGCTAAGTAAAGCTCAGGGAAGCAAAGATGCTGGTTGCATCCCCCTGATTCTGGAGGGAGGGCTACACTATTTGGGGGCCGTTCTAAAGAATCCAGATTGGCCAAGGTGCCTCAAGACCTTCCTGGCTGACTCTACCTCTCCTGTTCAAACACTCCTGGTGAGACAGAGGCTGCAAAGAAGGTGGCACAAGAGTTGCCAGTGCTGTTTCTATGCCATCTGAGACTTTGCCATTGGAAAGGAATCCCCAGCTGAGATCTGGCTCAGGGCTGAGTTACAGAAACAGAATCTGTAGTGGCGATGCATAGGGGGGGCACCCCCTAAGAGCACTGATGCACCCCCTGACAGCAGTGTTTCTGGGCAGGGGGCACAGATGAGAGAGCAGGTGCCCCACCTGGGAGCACTGACTGGGGAGTGTGCCAGGAGAAATGGTCCCCCCGCAGCCAATCCTGCTGACCTGAAAGTGCCAGTGGCATGCTGCTGCCAGTTGTGAGTTGGCAGGATCAGCTGCAGAGGACCCCTGCCCCCAGTTAGCAGGATCAGCCACGGGGGACACCCCCTGCCCCTCCTGGCCTGCAGGATTGGCCACTGGGGGACCCTCTCCCCTGGTCACTGACTGTCTGCTGGGGGGGCACCAGTTGCCCATGAGAATCCGTGTCCTATTTTGAAAGCATTTGCCAATCTTCTCTGTCTTTTAAAAAAGAGGTCTCCTTTTTAATATCTAATATGTCTACTGTTTAATGTCTAATGTATTTAAGTGGGGTTTAAAGGTGTTCCCCATTTTCTCCTCAAACCTCCGTATTTTTTACCATATTCAAGTACCTCCCATTACTGTATTTGCCAGATAAAATCCTCTCTCAAAGAGAGTAGTGAGTTCCCAGGGAGATTCCTGATTTTTCTGGTTGGATGGGGATAAAGACCTTGAGGGAATTCCCTGAGATCAAAGACTGAGGTAAGGGCTTGACTTGGATTAGCAGCCAATATCCTTTTGGCTCCCAAATCTCAGGCCAAATCACATAGCCTCCCATTTCTCAAGTTGCTTTTGGGCATCTAATTGGCACTTGACAAAGTACCTGTCCTAAGACAGTCAATATCAATTAGCATACTTATTAATGCACATAGTTGTTAGCACTGGTTACCTAATTACCTCACTAGTGCACCAGGAGGGCTTACAAATGATGGTGTGCTCTAAGGGTTGTTTCAGGAGTTAGGTATTGAATTGTGGGAGTCATTAGGGTGCACAGGGAAAGTGATGGATTTGTGGTGCAGGATACATTTAATCCAGGACCGATTGTTCTTCTAATACCTTGAGACACAAGTGAGGACCACAGGAGCCTGTGTACAGGGTAGAGCATAAGTATGCTACTCCACAAGCAGCCCAGGGAAGGGCACAGGGAAGACTGCCTGGCTGTGACAGAGACAGACTTTTCCCTGGATTCCCTGGATTCAATCTGTGATGGTCCTTGGCACTGGTCTGGCTCTGCTGGCTGACTGATTGGGGGCCTGGGGCCAAACCTCTGCTGACACTCAACCCATCTCACTTACCCACCACCCTCTTGTGCAGGGGTGGGAGAATATGAGGTTTGCAGGACTTGGTCTCTTCTGTTTAAAGGGAAAGGAAAACTGCCTCCTGTTATGTCCCCTGGGCTAGGGGCAGACATTCAAAAAGCCTGAGTCTGAATTGATTCAGTCTT